ATCTAGCCTACCTTCCTGCTACTGTTGTAATTACATTGGACAATTGGTTTTGTACATAAAGCACAGATATCAAAATGTTCTTTAAACTCTTCTAAACGCTGGATTTTTTTTATTATTTTTTTTACTTGATCTTTCACAAAGAGTAGTATTCTTACCTCCTGCTACATAGTCCTGCAGAATCCCGATACCACAACAAAGGGAGCAAGGTCTTTGAAGATGATCTATAAGCAGTCATCATCCTTCCTAGGTTTAAAGGTAATTATGAAAAAAAAAAAGGAATATCTAGGTAGTTTAGGGAGTATTTTAGCTCTGTAGATATTTGTCATTCACATCCCAGTCACTTCCTGAGTGTCTTTAATGTCATCTTATACTCTGTTTCTCAAGCAGAGACTTGAACAATGGGTGAAGTGGAATCACACTCTTGCAGATGGGTTTTCCACGTAAAGTTCCAGTTTCCAAGTTCAAACTCTGCTCAGCTCTTGGCTAGTGTTTATAGGGAATGGCAAGTCCTCACTCCTCCCATTTTCAGGAATGCTGGCTAGCAGATGCATTCAGAATCCCAGAAGTGTTGGGAGCTAAGAAACATTTCTGCCAAAAACAGGAGCCCTGGACAAGAGTAGACATTTTATATGTTGCCTGCCCTCTTTGTACTGTTGCAAGACTAGTGTTTGTGTGATGGCTGGCATGAGAACATAGTAGGCAATGTCATACTTTCCCATAAAAGAAACTAATGAAGGACTGAAAGACCCAAGTCAGCAGAAAAATCCAGAGCTTTCTTATCTGCTAAAGCCTTGAACCACAGAACTAGCTTTCTGTTCTCACTCTACCCAGTAGAATTTTGTGTAGGGTCTCACAACCTGTCTTCTGATCTTGAGGACTTCTGTGACTTCTCTAGCAATGCAGCTCTCTCAGGAGTCATGCTCACATCTACCGCATCCACTGCACCATCACAGCATGAAACCCAGCTGCTCTGTAGCGGACCAGCAACACCAGCCACCTTTTGGAGCACACCATGTTGTTCCACCTTACTGTGCCTCTGTATTTGCTTCCAAAAGAAGACGGGATACGTCAGTTGATGATGCAAACCCAGCTTTTGTTCCAGTTTACATCCAGGCCATGGCTTGGGTATAGATTCATGTGTGGGAAATGCCATGCACATCTGTCCACAGTGTAAACACAACCATTATCTGTGTGTCAGCCTTAGTGTTTGAAATCTGCCTGTGGAAAAGAACAGTCTGTGTGAAAAAAATCATTATTGTACTGATCTTTCTTTACCAGCAAGGACTCCTGAAACTTTACCAGAAAATTCTCCTTCTGTTGATATTCCCCTATCCAGTTCAAAGGCCCTGAAAAAAAAAGAGTCTTGAACCAAAGTGCTGACTCCAGGGGATACTGGAGAATCAGGGCAATTGTCAGACCTATGAGGGAAATTCTTGTTTTTTTCATCAGCTGTCAAAGAATGGAAGTGCTTGTTTATAGGGAAAAGCTCCAAGCTAGCAATGGCAAGAGTGCACAGAACGGTTGCATCCATGTTGAGCGGCTCTGAAGCTGTCATCAAGGCACACCTCCATGTTCCCTGATACCTGACGTAATTTGTGAACAGTTAGTAGGGCCAGGTCCCTAATGGTCTCCAGGTGCGATTTAGCCTGGATTAAGCCTTCCATATACGGTTTTCAGTTCTTGCAAGGTCATTTCACTTCTCATGAATACTGGTTTTGCACATGCTCAGCTGTGCTCTTGTTCTTTAATGTGGTAACTGACAGATGGTAGCAAGATATTTCTTTTATAATGAAACCTGTTAAAGGATGCTGCTTAGGGCCTCAGAAAATAGTACATTTGCCAAATAGAAGATGGTCTCTAGGAAAGAAAAAGAAAGAAAAAGGTGATATTATAATGCAGTGTATCTTAAGTCATTTTCCTCAGTCACCTGGTGATTATTATATTTTACTTGTGTCAGAGAAGTGACCTAACTGTTTGCTTCTATTCAGAGCTTTTTTTTCCTATTAACTAATACCTCTTTCACCCTTATATTCTTAAAAAGTCTTGCTTCTGTTAATTGTAATAGTGCCTCTAAAAATGTGCAAATTAAGAGCAGGAGAACAAGCTGTAGAGCTTTTTTTAGACACAGATATGCCCATTTCTCTTAAATCATTGTTAATTCCTGTCAACATTGCTATTGAATCCTTTGTTTGACCACTCACAGCTGGCCTGGATTTTCTCATGGCCCGTGCAAGCTTGTTTTGGCAGCTGAATACATCAGAATTGTCTAATTTGTCATCTTGTGAGAGGCTAGCAGTCTTGGATGACAGAAATGTCCTCTTTTCAACCCTTCAAAAGCCTGCAACCTCCCTCTTTTGCTGAGTAGCTGCCTTTGCCGCTCTTATTTTCTTCAAGATTCCCTATAACCAATTTTTTACTGCTTTATTCTTCACACCAACCTACAACTAAGGAAGACTTGGTGTGACTTCCTTTAGCATCCATTTACACTGTCCTATAAATCATACAAAATGTTCTGCACAGGCTCAAATCTATCCATTAGCTGAGAATCCATCTGTTCGTTGCTTCCAATGGGAATATAGTTTCTTTCTCTGCATCACTGCTTGACAAAACTTCTAATCCCATCTGAAACTACTAGTGTGTTGTGTTTGGGGTCTGTTATATCAAATACTCATCTCTCTCTTCTCTCCTTCTCCTCTCAGGAAATGTTATTTTTAGACTGCTTTTCTATCTCCAACAGAGTCAAAAGTTACATCTTGACCTGTACAAGCTTTGGTGCCATATGTTCCTCAGCTCTTCTGCTCTAGTATCCAGAAATTTGCCATCCAGCTCAGTTATTCTGGTCCATGACCCCCTTACCATTATTTCCCCTATGGAAAAAAAATCATTTGAATTTGAATTCATCTGAAATTTATGTGAACATTTTATATGTATGTGTATATGTCTGTTTGTGTATATGTTTTCTGTCACGGTTTTTTGTTTCCCTGTTCTTGGTTGTCATGGCCAGCAGCAGATGAATGTATGCCTTAGCCTTTGGTTGTATCAGGAGAGGAACTGACAGAACTAGATAACTTAGAGCACCTGTTTCTACTGGTATAATGTGCCTTGCTCATTACAGAATTACAGGATTGTTAGTGTCAAGGTGATTTTCCTGACAGAGAGCTGAGGCACACTGTTATTTTAAGAGTGCATCTCCATGGCTCTCAAACTTCAGGCTCTCCCCGACATGTGAGTCTCTAAATTCATGCTATAAAATTCCTTTTTTAGCCAGTGAGGAAAATGACATAGGCACCTCTACCGGGTAATTTATTTCATCATGAAGTAAATAATCAAAATATGTCACTCTAGAATTGACAATTTCTTTTCTATTAACTGAAAGGCAGCATAGGGTGAGCATCTCTGACATACACAGCTACACACAGATGGCTGCATCTGTCGAGGAGACATGGCTCAGTTGTCCACTACAGTGGCAGCATTCCTGAGGTGATTCAATGCATCTTACTCCCATTTCACTGTGGGCTAAGGTCAGTCGAGTCTCTTGTTTGCTGGGGGCTCAGGATACACACACCCAGATGCACACACAGACTCTTAGCTGACACATGGCAACTTATTCCACTTCACAGCGTGCGGGAACATTTGAACCCACGGAGCATCTGAGCCATCAGGCGCTGCGGATCGGGCAGCTGCTCTGTGGAGGCAGCCTATAAAGAGCACAGAGAACATCACCAGGGTAGAGGAGGGACAGGTTAAATTGAGAGAAAGGAATTTCCTCACTCTTTGCCATTCTCAGAGTGCAAAGTCCAATTCATCTCTAGAGAGACCCATTTGCCACGTTTTAGGTCTTTTTTTTTTTAGTATGCATTATTTGCACCTCCAGAAATCTGCACACATTCAAGTCCAAAGTCTCTCCTTCACTGACAGAAAAGTTTTCCAAGAATTGTGGAACAAGGTAAAATCCCAACTGCGTGTTCTACATTGGCCCCATCATTACATCAAATGGCACCAAATGGTGCAAATCTGCCTGCATTTAAAGCAACTGGGTACTGTGCCCCTTCCAGCTGAGTACAACATCCCTGGTCTCCCATAGCCAGCACTGCAGCAACATTCCCACTCAGCCACACTCCACACCACCATATCTCTAGCCCCATGCTCTCTACCTCCCAGGGTTTGCAAGGAACTGCTGAGCATTTCACAGAGCAGATGCAACAGCATGAGTCACTGCCTCACCAAGGAATGAGTTCCTATCAGTTGCTCCATGGAAACAGCTCATATATATGCTCGGATATTGTGTGATGCACTTTGAGGCTGCTAACATGCCTCTGAAATAGAGATAATTTGTTTACTTGACATGGGCCCAAGAGAAGAGCACTCCGTCACACAACTGCTGGCTACTTCTGATGAAGCACCTAGCATGGGAGAGCTCGGCTGGGCTCAGGCAGCAGAAAGGGAGCTGAGAGGTGGGAACCTTGACTCGCTTCTCCCTAAGGCTGACTCCTCTTAACTCTCAAAACAAGGTGACTGCAAGCAACCCATGCAAGCAATGCCCCCTGATGTATGCTGGTTCCCAAATGTGCCTGTTTGGGACAAGAACCTGCACTGTGGCAAGTACTGGTATAATGGCATAAATGATTATGCTCTAGTAGCTGGAAACATTGCTATTGACTCTTGAATTTACTCTTATCACTGTAACTGAATGTTTTAAGCCACATTCTCTAGAGGCAGTCTATGTTTACAGCTTTAATAGCTAGAAAACTGGAGTTTTCTGACCATTCCTAGACGTTATGGCACATTTTTCAGGCAATTCAAATGAAGAAGCTCTAGCAACAAAGTTAGTACTTACCCCCTAGAAGAAAATTCTCTTTCACCAGCTCTTGGGGAAAAAGTGTTTCCAAAAATGTGTTAATATTCTGCAAACAAATCAATTATTTATAATTGTCTTGTCTTTAGATGTAAATTAAAGTAATGATCTTTTTTACAGAGTTGAAAGGAAGCAGAGAGGTTTAACTCAAGTAAATGAAATCTACATGAGCATCTGTTTTCTTTTTAAACTTTGTAGGAAGTCAATGTATTGACGGTAGCATTGGTCAACCAAGACAGAGAAAAAAATTCCGAGAAACGAAGCCCTGGTCTAAAATCAGAGAAAGAGGCACTATTAATAGGTAAGATTACCAAAAAGAAGTTTGTTGACAACTACCGTTTAGGAACTTTTTGTTTTGCATATGTTTTTGTGTGCATCCTTACTTTAATAAAAGAAAAAAGAAAAAAAAGATTTTTAATTTTCATCTAGACCTAGAATCGTTTTCAGTAAGAGAAATCCTAAATACAAGTGAACTTCTCTTGGCTAAAAAATCTACAGACTGTAACAAAAGAATTTGGGATATGAAGAAAAAATCAGGATCTACATTTAGACTTGTATGAAAACTGTATTTACACTGAACTTTAATAGGTTCGAACTGTATAACTTGGCATCTGATCATCAGTGAAAATACTGAAGGATTGAGGGGTGGCAACTATATTGGCAAACTTTCAAACAAAATGTGTATAGTGGAAGCATTAACAAGCCAGATTTATGCTTTCGACATTAGATGAGGGAATTAGCAGTATGCATACCACAAAGGCTGCCACATCATCTACCTAAAATAAAACCTTTAAAATAAATTCTTCAAGAGTGCCACTTTTTCTTTACATTATAAGAAAGAATTATCTTTGAACATCCTGAACTGGAAAGTTTTAGGCACATAGACTGCAAATGCAATGCCACTGGCAATGTGTGATTTGAATACAAATTGGATTTCTAATCAGACCATCCAAGTGTGATGGTCTTGGCTTCTGCGTCAAGAGCACTCATGTGTGTGCCTGTGGTCACACAGATCATGGGGAAGGCAATGGCTGCTAGGATTTGCCACGGTATAAAGTTAAACACGTGATTTCTGCCTTTGCAGGGTCATAAGTTTGTAAATGCTGTTGGAAAAACGAGGGTGGAAAGAAGATGTACTTTGCAAAGCTGATCTAAAATTAGTTTAATTTTGCTTATCATTTTCAACCATTGCCAGTATACGGGAAAAACTGAAATCCAAGATTATCCTAATTCATTCAGCATCAAGAATGCTGTATGGCCTGCAGTACACAAGATACAGTGACCCATTTTTGTCATTTGTAAGCATTTTTAATCCTGGTGTTTACGCTTTAAATATAAGGAACTTCCCCTAGGGTGGTTCAGTTAAGTAAACCATCCAAAGAGAGTTGAAAATATTTGCTCTGATTCTTACAGTTCAACTCTCCCCAAACAGCAAGTACCACACATGTCATTTTCTATTCCCACTGTTTATTTGAAAAAGGATAAATCGGAGATTGCTTTTAATAGTAATTCCAATACCCCCGATCCTGTTTGTTTTGGTCATCACTATTTTGCTGTCTGTTGATTTTCACTGCAGAAAAAAATCTTCAGACTTTGATCCTGTCTCCTCTCAGACCAGTTTTATTCCCATACCTTTTATATGAACCTGTAAATAACAGTGGAGACAGGCATAACTGTCTGTCTTTTAAGGAAAAATAAATAAGTAAATATGTCAGAAAGGATTCGTGCTTTCTTCAGCAGCAGTTGGAGTAATATGTATTAAACACTTCCCACAACGTGCATCAGTGTAATTACTAGAAGAATTTGAGGGAGTGAGTTTTCTGACACAATTATATGAAACATTTTCAAAACAGAGCATCCACTGAAGGGGAAAAAAGCAATAATTTTACCATTACAATATCCACAATTTTATATTGGTAAATCAAGCATAAAATTGGTAGTTGAAATGCTTCCAGCAAGTCTTTGTTTAGAAATTCCTTTATTCATCAGTATATTATCTTGGTCACTTACTTGCTAACTGCTGTCATTCCTGAAGATGAGCTATTGTGTTTACTGCGTTATTATGACTATATTAAAAATGTGCCATTTTCTTATGTTTATTGGGTTGTGTAAGAAAATTAAGAAACATAATTCATACTGAAAAACCTGCAAGAACAAACAATTCAGAATTATTTTGCTTATTTTAATGATATGTCTGAGGTAATTTCAGTACTGTGCATTTTTTTTTAATACAGGTATCATATCCACATTTCTTCATGTCCACCCTTTTGGAGCCAACATAGAATATCTTTGGTCTTATATGCAGCAGTTGGACTCTAGGGTAAAAAAATTTAATCAAAATCTGTTTTCTCTATAGAAATATTGTATTATTCTTTACTGCAGGTTAAACTCTTCTCGAGTTTTCATTAGGAAGATAATGGGATATGGGGCTTGGGGGTTTGCAGTCTTTATTCATTCACAAATTACAATACCTACACTTGTGTTGAAGTCCTTCGCTTTGCGTTGCTGAGATATTAATTGTGGCAAAGAAGAGTTTTAAAAGGCAAAGATTGGCAGCTGATTTTATGACACGTGACCCTGAAACACAGCTGATAAGAAAGAAAGCAGAACAAGAGGGAGGAGAAGCTATCGCCACTGAATGATGGAGAGTTTTAAGAGAGTATTCCTCTTCTAAAAGTTGTTGGTCATGAGACAAACTGAATATGTGAACACTCATGAACATGAACCACAAAAAATGCCCTTCATCTTCACAGAGAAGCTGGGAGGCCTGATAAGGAAATTGGCTGACCTATTGCTAAAATCAGAGAAGCTGAGGCCAATACACACGTGAGACCAACACACTGCGGTGCTCAAAGTATTTCCTAATCACCATACAGTTCATACAGTCTGTCATCAATAAGTACCATTAGGACAGAATTCTTTAGACTCACTTTCAATATCTACTGTAGGATGAATCAAGTCCCAAAACCCCTCTTTTCTCTCCACTGAATATAAAGAAAATGAGAATCACCACCATGAAAGAGACACCTTTGATCAGGTGAATGCTACTTTAAATGCTAAACAATAGCTCTACAAAGACAACTAGAGTATAAATGTCACTCTGATTAAATATTTCATTGATTGCTATATGATGGCCTACTTTATATAGTCTGGGTCAAATCCCATAGCCCTTTATGCAGGTAGATCTCCTTGTCTGAACAGGAGCTACTTAACAGGTTCTGCTAAACCACAGCTGTGATCCACCATACACATCTGCCAGTATTTCTCCTGCACACAGGGATGACAGTGCTTGCCCAGATCTTCTTGCGATATGAAGTCAGGATGCTGCTGTTTGTGCACCTGTACTCAGAAGCAAGTGGTACTCCAGGTGGCTGGTTAGACCCAGCTCTACTCACCTTGGTAATATTTGGCTCCTGAATACTGCCTCTAGCCTTTCCAATCATAGCCAAGATAACCTCCAGCTGCTTTGATGGACAGATTCATGCCGCTGAAGGAGGCAGAGGAGATCATTAGATGGAAAGCCATTGGAAATAACAGAAATTGATGGAGGAGAGAGGATGAAGGATGAACCTCTTTGTGCTTGCCTCTGTGTATGACAGCTCAGATTTGCAAGTGCTTCACAGCCCACTGCTAAACACAAGGAGAGGGTAGTAAGGAAAGGTGTGAAGCTTGGGAATTTAAATTTTTTTAAAAAATCTACTGGTAATTCTAGAGCTCTTAACATCTGGACCTGCAGCACTTCCTCTTTTGCCTTGTTATTCTCTGTCTCAGCAACGTAATGTATCTTCCTTCATCCCGACACCAGCTCCTGCAGCAACCAATGTAGCAAATCTCTGTCATCCTTCAAGTCCTTCCTTAACCCACAGACTCTTGGCTAAGTTTCAACTGCTTCTCCCTCTCACTGGCTGCTCCTCTTCTGCAAACATTTTAAGTGCTGTCTCCTTGGACTACAGCCCTGCTTCTCATTGCTTCTGTGCACTGAGCTCTGCCTTATCCCCATCAGTGCAGCAGTCCCTCCGTGTGTGTATCTGTGGGCTCTGGCCTTGATTTTCTACTCGTGAGAGCAGCCTGTTGACTTCAGTGATGTTGCCAGGGTCAGATCCTTACCATGTAAATGCAGTCTCCGTGGATGGGGCCTTGTCTCATGCCCTCTGAGGTGTCCAGTGACCTTGCCGTGTAGCTACCACTTTGCCTACCTACTGCGTAATAAATCTGTGCAGCAGAATTGACCTCACGGCTTTGTTTTGGAAGCAAATGCTGTCACAACAAATTGCTGTCTAATAGTGTAATCCTGAGATGTAATCTCAGAGATTAATTTCAATTATTTTCCATGGTTAGCCTGTCATTCCTCACCTAAACAGGAGTAATAAGGTCAGCATACCTGTGTGGGCTGAGGGCTCGTTGTAGAGCTCAGATTCATTGCCTAGAGGTAACCAGTTATCAGTTACTGTCATGAGAGCATATAAAAGATGGACTTGATTATTTTGGAGTTCCAGATTGACTGCCTCCAACACTGATTTTTAGTGCCACCTTTAACAAATTATTTAATTTTTCTGCCTCACTAACCTCTATAGGAAAATAAAAGGTGACAGTTATTTCCTCACCTCCCTTGGGTGGAATAAGGTGTAATTAGCATACTTTATGTTTATACACTGCTTTGAAAATGAGACTCGCCACTATGAAAGTGTCTTACTAATATGAATATACAAAAATGTCATCATTGCCATGAAGCTGATCAAGCCACAGAGATATCTGGGGCAGCAGCAGCAGAGATTTCTTTACAACATTTCGCATGACCATTAGTTTAGAATAAGTAGCTGCAGGATCAGAATGGTTCATTTTCCACAGCCATTCATTTCTTGGCTACCAGAAAGATTATCTTTGTGAAAGTGTTTTCTGCAGTAAGAACAGATTTTTCAATAGGAATGTGACCAGGCGTTAAGGTGTTGAGGCCATTGGAAAATACTCTGAGTCATGCTGAGTCAGGATCATCACTGATGAGTTCTCTAGGGCTACTGAACTGGGACAAACTGTGGCAAGATGACTCCACTTAGTCCCTGAGTAAAGAAATTGAGCTGATTAAAATGAAGGCATTTTTTTTTTCCAAAAGGAAAACTGATAGAGCTAGAGGTAGAAAGATTTAAGAGTTCATAGAAGGAGAAGGAAGAATAAGGCCCAATTTGCTTCTTTGTCCACATAAGTATACCTAAAACCATAGGTCTTAGATGGATTTCACACAAACATTATGTGACAGCAACCCTAAAATAACAATATCTCCCTGCTATTGTCGTTATTTACAGTGGGATTCTGCTTACAAAAACAGAATTATTCCTGCAAGGAATTTACACTTGCTTTGGCATTTCAAAAGACAGGTGTCAGGCTAAGGCTAAAAATATTAATAATGAAAAACTTTGTTTTCGTCTTCTCTGGATTTTTTTTTCTTATTTCTGTTCTCTGTGTTTTCTCTTCCCAGTCTCCAGGGCAGTTTCTCACTTTATTTTTAACTTTTTCTCTTTCCTAGATCTCTGCAAATGAGATAGAAATGCTTTTGATGAGACTGCCACGCATGTTTAAACAAGAATTCACTGGTGTAGGAGCAACACTGGAAAAGCGGTGGAAGTTTTGTGCCTTTGAAGGAATTAAAACTATCTGACTGTGACTAGTAATGAAGCTATGCAGAATAAGAATTCCTAGAGCATGGCAGGGTTACAAAGTATTAAAGTAAGAAATTTGGGTTTTGGCACATAGTAGTATGTTTTCAAAGTTATCCGAGCCTAATTTTAGTTACATTTGTGACGTTCTCTTGTGAGTGGAAATGTAGTTGTGCACCAGTTCCTAAAATAAAATAATTTTTTTAAAAAAAGTTTCAAAATGTGACGGATCTGTTTCCTATGAAAACTGAAGAAAGATGCCACAGTCATAATGATTTCAAAATACTACATGTCCTACATCTGAGAAAAGCTCATTGAGCAAACAGTTAAGGAGAAAGATTGCCCAGTTATGGTCGCTATATTACAGCGATGTAAATGTAATATGTAGTAGAGCTCATTAAATTACGTTACTGAAAGTTCTTTCCATTTAGTAAGAAAATTAAGTAATTTTACCGTGAGGAAAAGCATACCAAAAGAAAACTTGAAGATGTGTCTGAAGTTGTTGTATTTTGTAAATTAAGTTATATGCTGTACCAGGGATTTTTGCCTTATTGAAAGAGGCCTGAAAATGTGATTGGAGTCCTCAAGAATGCTTTATCAAGAATATTATTTTTCTAATGTAACTATTCTCCATTACAAGTTCTTTTAACATGGATTGCATATCAATTTTCATAAACATGTAAATAAGGAGGAAACCAGTGTTACTGTATTGTATTTGGTATGTAACATTCAGGTTTATGCATCAAAATAAATATTCAGTTGCATTACTGTTACAAATTTTATAGCAGATATATTAATTTTTATCAATAAATATGACTTCTACCATATTGTTTGTAAGTTTTTATTCTTCTGTTTTTGATTTTTTATCAATTCAACGAGAGTCTCCTGGTGTTTGTCTTTCTGCTACCTGAGCTGCTAATTGCAAATGTCTTGGCTAAATTGATTGGGAATCAAAAAAACATGCTGCAATTTTAGCTAGAATGAAAAGAATCACAGTTATTGCTGGAGGAAGCAACAGCATGGTGCTTTGTTGAAGGGGATATATTTCATTTGTTTTTTTTTCAGACAAGGAGCCAGGCTGAAAGCAAAGCACCTTTAAATTTCTCATTTACAGTGTTGTGTTGGGTCACCACAATGCATCTAATCAGTTATTCCTTTTAACTCCTGGCTAATGCTTCTGGCCTTTGGCCAGACAAGGAATGGAACAGGGCACTTTCAGTGGTGGCCCTTAAATGAACAAGATGAAAGGTAGGACCACTTTCCTCATTATCATTTGGGATTTACTGTCAAACGCACAGTACTCCAATGCCCTTATAGGAGCTAGAAAAAGTCCAGAAAAAGCGTGTTTTGTATAAACCAAGCTGGAAGAACGTGGAAGGCGTCTCAGCTCCCAGAGCATCCCTTTGAAGACACACATCAGCATGGCACTTGGGTGAAAAACAGCGGCCCTGCGTGGGCAGAGGAGCCGGCCACACGGGCAGGCCCTGGAGAGCAGGGCAGCTACAGTGGGAAATAGGGAAAACCACAGCACATGCAGGGAGGATCCACATACACCTCCGAGTGCTGCTGCTCACAGGCTCCTCCATAAGAAGTAATTAGTGTCAAATGCAATTAGTCATGAAGGAACTCTCTTATATGGCTGTTAGTAATTACTGCTTTAGGATCTGTTTCTCTCTGGCATCTACCTAGAATATAGAAATATTAGATGAAATCTTACCTGTGCACAAAAGGGAGAAAGAAACAGACTTAGCAGAGCCATTATGGAAGAAAATTATGCTTTCAGCCAGTATACACAAAACTGCTATTTTTAAGAACATGCACCTCTATTATGGTTGCTTCAGTAGCTGTATTAAGACAAGTTACTCAGGTGAAGCTAATAATTATATGTCAGTTATGTTAATGAAAATTAACCAGTTCAAATAACAACTCTTTCTTTTTTTGTGACCATACAGAGCTATGAATAATTCAGGCAAAAATGTGGTAAGCCTGACAGTTTTTATTTAAGTACTATAATATAAATCTGTATGGATGGCACTTAGACTGGGGAAAGACATGTGTGAAAACTTTCACCTAGGCTTTTTCTGTGCTATACTTATTCATTACATCTTTTCTCTTCCCTTTGACTTTATGTCTTCCTTCTTGTCCCCCCCTTCTTTAAATTATCCCTTCTCCCATAAGACCACATCCATCCCAGACAGCCACAAAACCTTTTTAAACTTACATAAGACCATGATATTTTTGCTCTGGTTGTGTTTTCTACTCCTTTCTCCTTTGTAGGTCTCCCTGCTTGTCTGTACCATAAGCACTTAAAGAGAGCACTTCTTTTAGTTCTTGTGAAGGACCAAACAAAAGAGAATGTTCTTGACTGGCATTTTGATACCACCTTTAAAGATCTAAACATTAAGACTAAATAGCATACAGGCATCCTGCAGTACTATAAAGTATGTAGGCCATCAATGAATGTTTAGCCATGTATTTAGTTTTGCCAGTCAGAATAGGAATGTCAGCCGAGAACTTGAAACTAGTGGTGACCTTCAACAGAATCAAGCTGGACCCCAGAATTGGCTTGGTGTCAAGTGGTCAGTGGCTTTGGAGAAAATGGATGAAAATGCTGTTCCATCATTTCGTGGCTAAAATGTCCCAGTCTTGACTGATTGAAGTGGGAGACCTGAAAGTGATATGACAGAAAGGGAGCCACTTCTGAAAGACGTATCTGCAGGTATGTTATTGATACATGGAGAAGATGGTGATGCTTTGCAAACCCATTTTAAATTATGGTGATGAGTTCTTTAGCCAGCTGCTCTGACCAGGCAAAATGATGCCATAGTGGCCAAGGAGGATTGGCTCCCTGTGATGTGTATCACAAGAAGACACCTTTCTGAGTGAGCAATGCTTGTGAGTTGACAGTACATCTTCTTAGCATCTCTGGTCATTGCAGCAGAGCAACTGTAAATGGCAGGAAGTGAGAGGAGAGGAGAGGAGAGGAGAGGAGAGGAGAGGAGAGGAGAGGAGAGGTCAGTGTAATAGAATAGGAGAGTACTCTAATTCATTCTATCCTGTTGACCAGATCAGAGGCTCAGTCCCCTGAAGAAAAAGTCAATGTGCTCTCCACCAGGGAGAGGAAGACGCTGAGGTAGCCAAGTGATACTCAGTGAAATGAGGAAATGCAGGATCTAGGGCAGTTCACTCCAATTGAATGATGCTGAAGGAAGACAGAACAGGCTGGCACATGTTTGGCAAAGACTTAAAGGAAGAGCAGGAGCCTCACAGGAGTGGTGGTGCAAAAACAAGGAGGGAAGAGGCCAAGAGACAACACAGCACCAGGCTAACCAAAAGCTCATGAGTTGAGACTATGCAATGGTCTGGCACACAGCTACAAGGTAGGGCAGAGCGATGTAGTGACCTCTCCTCAAAAAGGGACTGATGTAGCAGAAGATCTGGTTTCCTATTGACAAAATATGGCAAGGGTATTTTGCAAGAAGTCAGGAGTTCATCTGGCCCAAACTGGCTCCCCAGTACAAGGAACCTCTAGAGATGGTCCAGCGTAGAGCAACGAAGACGATTAAAGGACTGGAGCATCTATCATATGAGGAAAGACTAAGCGAGCTGGGCCTGTATAGCCTGGAGAAGAGAAGGCTGAGAGGAGATTTCATCAATATGTTCAAGTACCTCAGGGGTGATTGTAGGGAGGATGGGGCCAGGCTCTTCTCTGTGGTGGCTGGTGACAGAGTAATGGATGTAAGTTGAAACACAGGAAGTTCCACCTCCATGTGAGGAAGGACTTCTTTCCTGTGAGGGTGACAGAGCCCTGGAACAGGCTGCCCAGAGAGGTTGTGGAGTCTCCTTCTCTGGAGATCTTCAGAACCCACCAGGATGCCACCCTGTGCCACGTGCTCTAGGTGTCCCTGCTGGAGTAGAGGGGTTGGACTAGATGATCTCTAGAGGTCCCTTCCAACCTCAACCATTCTGTGATTCTGTGAACTCCTGGTCCATCAAAGATGCTTTTTAGTTCCTCCTCAGCTTTGAGTTGGCTTGGAGTGGTAACAGACTTGACTTCCCTCTGCCTGCAAATATGTCACGTGGAACTACCATCTAGACATGGCTGGAGTTTAGAGGTTCTCTGAACTGCACTGTACTTGATTTGCCTTTGAAGGCTTAAGAGATTTAATGTGCAAAACTTCCTGGACAATTATGGATTTCACCCTGCACATTCAAGAGAGGAGGAGGTATAATTTCTCTAATAAATGGCATTTTATGCCCACAGGAGATACCTTGTGTGATGAAAATTACATTATCCTCACAACAAAAAAAGGAAATTTCTGATATCACCTGGTGCTATTGCACATAGTGGAACCTAAATTCATGCATGTCTCAGGGGAAAGTTGCATATTTGCAACTGCCAAACTATCTCAGTCACTTACGGAATAACTATACTGAGATTTAGAGAAAATCTCCTATCAAGCTACAATACATTTAGTTTAAACATGCTATGCAGTAAATGCTACAGAATCTAAAGCCCTAAATCTTTGCTTGAAAACAAACCATCTGATGATTTCAGTCAAAATTTTGACCTTGCAGGCATTGCTTTTTTAAAAAATCAGAACAGCTTTGAAACTCAAGGTTGATTTGACAAAAATTTTCTGCACTGATGTGGGCTGAATTGGGAAGACAGGGAGGGGAGCTTGGCTTAAGAAAGAGGAGAAAGGACTTGTTTTGGGGGGAGATATATTCTTCTTGTGCCTTCAGTCAGGTCAGCTATAAGACTGATACTCATTTTGTATCATATTCTGCCCGTCTCTCTGAAATGGGAACTGAAAAGAGAATGTCAGGATTTAACATAACATGTGAAGTGTGATGACTTTTTTTTTCCCTATAAAACAGTGCAAGTTTTCCCATCCTTTGACTGTCGCTGTCATTACGTATATAAGATCTGTGGCTATTTTACCCTAACTTTTCCCTCAAAAAGAACACTCTAAAAGAAGCAGCAGCAAATTATTTCTAGTTCTGTTCTGTGCAGTACTTCTGTAGTCAGTCTCCTCTGGCAGTAACTGGTGAGATGGTCGGGAAAAAGGAAAATCATCCTACATTTATTGGCATTAAGTGTTCAGAGAGGACAGGATCTGAAGGAAGCTGTTCCTTCTTCCAGACTTTCTCAGAGCACAGCCTGCCTGCCTGCTCAGAGATCCAAAAAGTGACCATTTCCTTACTGAGGTGAATGTTTCTAAGGCAAGTAAATCAATGAAAAAGTAGTCAAATCAAGAAATTATATTGGCAATGGGTAGATCTCCAGCCTGCACAGAAATTGCATATGTGCGAATCCAACTTGGAAGCAGCAACAAATAGATATGAGCAGGGTTCTTGCTGATCAAGCCTTTTGTTGCACATGCGGTAATAAACTCTACGTCCATTCAGACTTCATAGGCTGACTCCAATGTCATACAGGATCCCAGTGAGACATTTGGGCCACAGAAAGAAGAAAGAAATTGGTATTCCTGTATACCCAGAAAAGAGTATCCCCGTAATCCTGCTACAGCCATACCATAACCATTTCTTCAGTCTTCCAACTAGTAAATACTTCTTACTAATATATGCTGTTTTGTAGACATAGAAGCACATCCAGCACATAGAACATTGAAGCTCATCATCCACTGGGACTGCTTGTATCGTAGCCGTGTCATAGTTAATTCTGTAGTAATCCCAAAAGCATATGGTTGATTAAAACACATCTTCCATAAAAGGACCCAGCCTTAATCAAAGTAATGGAAAAGATGTTTTTTGGCTAGGTAGCTCATTGGAAGAAATTAGTGTTGTTAAAATTGTGTCCCTA